TGACCCTCGTAGTCGAGCATCCTCCTCGGGTCTTACATTATTTGCGACCTCCGTGAAACCGAATCACGTATGGTAACATGGTTGACACCGCGAGTAATACTTCCAGTTCCAGGCGTAGCCAGAGGCGCCGCGGCAAGGCCAGAGCGATGTCAGTACGCTCTGATGAATCTGTCGGCTCCTCTGGGGCTACGCCGCCGGAAGGCCTAACCGCAGCGCCTTCGGCGCCCGCGGGTCCCCGACCGCCCGCCCGATCGCGAGAACAATTAATCTCGCCCTCGGGCAGCGTCGACACCGCGGTCGCTGCCAATGTCGCCCCTCGAGCGACCACGGCGCCTGCACCGTCAACCTCGTTGGGAACCCTTCCATCGACCCAACAAGTTTTATCCGAATTGGTTAACCAGATGCGCGCATCTCAAACTCAACAGGCCACACAAACTGCGATCCTGTTGCGTCTTGAGTCCGCTCTGCGCGTAAGGGGCAGTCCGCCCCCAAGGGACACCCCGCTACCCAAAGAAGCCCGTCGCCTGCCGCTCCGCCCTTCCAGTCCTCGCCGGACCGCTGCCACCATGACGCCGGCAGCCAGCAGGACCCCAATTGTGCCCCCGCACCTGCTGCAGAGGCAGGCCAAAGCCGAACGTCTCGTCGCCAATTCCCAGCGTACGGCGCAAGAGACAAGTGAGGTGACGAATGTCACCGCCGAATCCGCCGCTAGTCTGTTCGCAGACAACAACGGCGCTCCGATCCCCCCCGACGACTACCGTCACCCTCTGGTGTACTATGGACCAACCTATACACCAAGTTCCAGCGGTCCACGCATCAAGCTAGAGCGTTGGGACGGTACCAAAGAGAACCTCGAGCGGTTTATTGATAACTGCTTGCATGTGTTCCACTTCACCGGATTGCCGCAGATGGAGTGGGCTGCTTATGCGCAAGCGCACATCGATGGCATGCCAGGAAATACTCTGGTACAGGAGCGTCGCGGTTGGGCGCAATGGCAAGAAGATCTTGCAGCCGGAAGACCCGTCGGTCCAGATCTGGGGTCGGCGCACCTTTTCAACTGGTGGCGTTTCACCTTGTACCTTCGCAAGGTATGGGGTGACAACCGTATGTTCAATACGGCCCTCCGCAAGCTTGGCAAGATTTGCCAGGTGGGCAGCATCGACACCTACGTGTCGGACTTCCGCGCGCTCGTGGTCACCGCCAAGCCGCAGCCCAACAGGACGCTCATCATGTTCTTCCAAAAGGGATTGCGGCGTGAGATCCGACAACGGATTGCCCACTTGGACAACGACGGGACCACCTTGGCCCGCTACATGACGGCAGCTATCCGCGCTGACCGGAAAATGCAGCAGGAACAGGCGGACGCCCTCCGGTGGGGTACGGGATCTCGTACCCCACGACCGTCTATTGCAGCCCCCCGCCCGGCTGCCCGACCGGCGACTGCCGAACCCT